TGCATTATTGGATAGTTCCATTTTTACCATATATAGATGCTATGCTAGTCTCTTGTATATGCAGAGGAGTGATTCTCTCAGAAGTTTTTAGTTTGCAGATATACTCTTGAGACCAGACTATATATGTTGGTCTGTAGTACTGTCTTATTAACCGGAGGATGTTTTATGCACAGGTTTGGTGCATTCTTATGAATGATAAAGTTCAGTTCAGGATGCAGTGGCCCCAATATGCAGAATTGGAAGTGAATGGTATTGTTGGCAATATATAACTAGGCTGAGGAATATTTTTGAAACGCATATCAGTTCAATGTTTGCTTATATCCCAGACACTGCTCTAACATATGTGCTAAATCTGAGTTGTAGCCTTGTAGGTTGTGTTTTACATTGATCATTTTGGAATTAAGGATTATCAGTGTGAATGTCGTTTATCTTCTCCATTCATTCAGGTTTTGCTGTACGAGTAGTGACCAGACCTGGTTCTCAGTTGCTAGGCATAAATGGACGGGATGATGGGCCATTGGTGAGTTCATTCTTATTCTGTCCCTCTGCATGTTTATCCACTTACAGTTTCATCCTTGTCTCGCTTTAAACGATTAACCAAAAAGTGTTGCATTTGGACCAGCAAGCTTATGTAGGCCTGTGACCACAATTCTACTTGCAGCAACACTTAGTTAGGCTGCATGATAATCCCCCGCCCCACTCGAAGGGATGATCCTAAATGCCTGTAACCACCCCTCGTCAGTAACTCTGTGGATACCCACTAGTGCACTTGATGCTGCAATCAATGGGCATAACCCACAAATGGTGGTCCAGCATGTCCATAGCATGCAGCTTACGCTTTTGGACTCACTTGGACTAAAAGAGTTAAACCTGGAACACTGCAGGTTTTATGTTCGGATCCAGCAAGCATTATATGCTAGCACAGTTGACTGCAAACTGCCAGCACAACTTTACTTGTGCAATTGTGCCACATATAGGCCAACATGAGTAGGGCCGGGTCTTATGATTTTACAAGCTGTGTTGAGGGACATATCGTCCATGGACCAACATTACTGTTCGGTTATGTCTCATCATGTTCATGATGAGTAGGCTTGCAACTTTTGACCTTACCTGAACACTTGTTTAAAAGTGCAAATAGTTTTTGATCCAGCGTCACAGAAAGTACTACAACTGAATTTACATACATATATGAGGTAAAGGGTGAACTGTAAGATGAAGACATGTCTATACACTAATTAATAATGTTATGTCCCATACAAGAATTTAACTACATGGCCATGGCACTGTAAGGCATCACTTCCGCGAAAGACTTACTTAGCTTGGTGATATTGGTGTCAGGTAGACTTATCTTGCTACAGCCACTGTTGGATTTCATGAATCAACAACTGGAGTTGGATAGTTTAGGTACAAAACTGGCAGCATACAACATCCATTTTCATGTTGGGACCAATCAATGTGGTATATTTTGTTGACAGATTGAGAACTTGTGCATGAAGAAACATTCTGCATTCAATCATTACATTAATACTGTTTGCTACATTTTTATTTTTATTCTTTACCCAAGTTCTTTTTGTCATGGCTTGAACTTGCCATCCTTGTATTTTGCAGATAACCACATGCAGTAGAGAAGGAACTAACAAGATCTGCTTACGGAGGGTTGATAATCGAACATTTTGCTTTGGAGTCCGAGTTGCTAGGAGGAGGAGTGTTCCTCAGGTTTTGACTTTACTTATCAATTTAGTTGAAATGATTGGTATTAGGTGTTTCCTTTTCCTGTTCACTTATCTCTCAGTTGCCTTTCTCCATTTGACTGGACCATAGCCTCCTTTAAGGAGAAGCTTAGCTCGGTATCATCGCAAAGATGTACAAATTGAAAATGCCATCACATGTGAGGCAGACTAGTGAGCCATGGAGCCACATGTCAGTGACACATCGATGTTGTTTTCCAACTCGAGTTATCTTTGCGATGGTACGGAACACTTTGTGCCCCTTTATCTATATATATCCTGAAGAGGGACATGTGCACACCAACTGATTGTTATTGCCCACCATTCCTCCCTATATGTGTCTGGCTGGAATGTTCATCAATGATTAAGAACGACACATAATTTGAACTTTATTACAAGAAGGAAAATATGAAGTTCTGTAATTCATCACAAGTCTGAACTACACCCACAGTTTTTGTTTTTCGTTTGACATTTTTTACTTTCAAAATCTTCTAGATCTTACTTTGACAGTTCTTGTTTTGAAATGACTTGTGACCACTGCTATTTGTTTTTATTACTTCACGTTACCTGCAAATATAAGTTTAGCAGTGACTGTTAAGAATTATTCTAAAATTGGACATTAACAATTTCGATAGTTTTAAATGTGTTGACGATCAAACTTCGGAAAATTGGATGGCATGGACTCTGTTACAGAAACTCCGAACATCTGCCATTGCATCCTCCACCTGGAACAGATTTGACCCCTAATTACTGCCAACATCTGCCACTGAAAAATCTCAGGTTATAAAATGAAACTGGCTGTAACTTTTCCAACTTGTGAGAGTGAATCTAATCCTGTATGTCCAGGATTACTTTTGCAAATTGTTACTTTGTCCAGTGAAAACAACTGTACCAAACTAAAATTTTCTGCTGTTTCTTGAACATTTTTCTTTTGATTTTAGCATCTTGTAGTGCTCCACGTTTTTATTTTGAATAAGTTGTTTCATTACCTTCCCATTCCCATTTTAGACCACTTGATTTACATTCTGACATATTACATAATTTCTTGTTGCATTACCTTTCCGTTAACGCTATCATTGGTATCCAGGTTTTAAATTTAGTTCCAAAGGAAGCTGAAGGTGAGTCTTTTGAGGATGCTCTTACTCGTGTTCGGCGCTGTCTCGGAGGTGGAGATACTGCAGAGAACGCTGATAGTGACAGTGATTTGGAAGTGGTTACTGAATCTGTTACAGTCAACCTTCGTTGCCCTGTGAGTTTTCGTGCGTGTAACTGTTATTGTTATTTTTGGCTGACTCAGCATATACTTGTCAGTCCTGTATGCTTGCCTCGTGGTTAGTAATTACACGCTGTCAGTTTGCTACATTCCTTGCTCGTTAGCTGAGTAGTTTTAGGTATATAGAAATGGGTACTAATATGGCATCTTTCAGAAGCAAAAATATTTGTTTCAATGTATTTTCTTTGTCAACGTATGTTATGTCTACCTTTATAAGCTAAGGGTATATCTGGTTTGTACCCAAATCACCCTACCTGTTATTTTGCCATGTGCTAAAATTCATCCTTTGTCTTGGTGTTTCCAGTTTTCGACATGTCCATATGGCCATGCCCTTTGCCCACTTCCAATGCTTTTTCTTGCCAATCTTGCGCAATCAATATTTGACAACCAAATATTTGTCGTGACGTATGCAAGATTTGGAATCAATCTAACAGTTCTAATATATATTTTCAGAATAGTGGATCCAGAATGAAGACTGCTGGAAGGTTCAAGCCTTGCGTTCACATGGGTTGTTTTGATCTCGACACCTTCGTGGAACTGAATCAGCGGTCCCGCAAGGTTAGATTTTGCGCTTATATGTGTATGTCAACACTTGTGCATGTGCATCCAGGAAGTCAAGTAAATATAGAATGCTGTTCGTCCATGTTTAGTGACTTTCTGCAAGGTGGTAGCCCATATTGTGGCATAAAATTGGTTTGGTATGTCTTATGTAGTCTCTCTGATTGCTCTCTTTTTATATTCTGCAGTGGCAGTGTCCAATATGTTTAAAGAACTACTCTCTTGAGAATTTGATGATTGATCCTTACTTCAATCGGATTACTTCTCTGGTAGGTCTTCATCATACCTTCGGTTTTTGTTGTTGCGTGATTTGGTTGCTTTTGTTTATTCTTTTTTCTTTATGATGCAGTTGCGTGATTGTAGTGAAGATGTCAATGAGATTGATATTAAGCCAGATGGATCTTGGCGTATAAAGGGTGATGTACCAACTAGGGAATTATCTCAGTGGCATATGCCTGATGGCACGCTGTGCATCTTGAAGGAAGATAACAAACCTGGTGTTGAGAATTTTAATGAACTCAAGATAGAAGGTACTTCTGATGGCCATAAGAGTTTAAAAATTGGAATCAAGAGAAAAAATGGAATTTGGGAAGTTAGTAACAAAGCAGATGACAAGAAGCCTTCTGTGGTAGGAAATATCACCCAGAACAATATTACTTTCCGAACTCCAAACACTTTCCCTATGAGCAGTAGTCCCACTGGGAGTTATAGAGATGGGGAAGACACAAGTGTGAACCAGGAGGGCAGTATGCATATTGATTTATCATTGAACAATGGTCATGAGTTTGAAAGTTTTCCTCTCAATTTCGGCCAAACATATAATACAGAGGATACATCACAGCAACAACTTAGTGCTGGAGATGTCATTGTTCTTAGTGATTCTGATGAAGAGAATGACACAATTGTTTGCCCACCAACTGTCTACGACAATTCTACTGTAAATGACGGTGGTTTTCCTTTTGCCACTAGTGATGCTGGATTTACTGGAAGATACCAGGAAGATCCTGGTGTCGGTACTAGTGGCCTTGGTTTATTAAGCAACAACGCTGATGATTTTGAGATGACTAATTGGCAAATGCCCTATTCTCAACCGGAGCAAGGCTACCAGTTTTTCGGGGATGGCACCGCCGATACTTATGTTGGTTCGCACAATTCCTTTAGCATTACACCAAACGACTATTCCCTTGATTGTAATGTTGGCATAGAGGAGGCTTCTGTAGCTCATGACCTTCCAGTTTACCGCAGTAATAATGAAATGCATGGAAGTTTGGTTGATAACCCATTGGCTTTTGGTGGTGATGATCCTTCTTTGCAAATTTTTCTTCCAAGTCAGCCTTCTTCTGCTCCCCTTCAGGAAGAACCAAGTGAGCGTGTAAATGCATCAAATGGGGTTCAGTCTGATGATTGGATCTCTCTTACGCTCGCAGCCGGTGGAGGTGGTAATGAAGTGCCTGCAGCTGCTAATGGTTTAAATTTGCAAGAACAAATACGGTCAAATGAGACAGGAGTGGAACCATTAATTGACGCTGGTTTGTCTCCCTTTTATGCATTCAGTTTTCCTTTCTTATATGCTCCATTTCAGCAGTTGAAGAACATATAGCATTTTTAGTGGAACTGCAAATAAGAAAACTACCACAGTAAGTGGTTACTTAAAGCTGATCTTTCAAGTAAAACACGCCTTAGAAACAGCTGTCCTTTTGTCCCACTTTCTTATTTGTCCTTAAAATTTCACAAAAGTTCCCAAAGGGAAAATATAGTAATCCTACTTTCTTAAGAAAGGGTTTATGTTTCTACTAGTCTAGTTATGGTTAACTGTAAGCTGAAAATTGCTATCATTCCCCCATATTTCTCCT